ATAAACAAACAGGTTATCATTGAAGATAATTGTCCATTCTCCTACCTCAGTTTCTCAGTTTCACATGTTATCAGTGTTAATGATAACACCACTGTTATCAGTGTTAATGATAAAACCACGTACTTAAAAGGAACGCAGTCACATTCCTCAGAGCTCTAGGTCTCTTATTTTGACCACAAACTGCTGCTCTGTGTAAAGGGAGGCAACTCGCGTGGCCCTGTTCGGCCCTGAGCAGATTATTTCCCTCATGGTCCCATTTGGAGGGGGCACGTTGATATCAAGAGACAAACGTATTGAAAAACGGTCGCATTTTCTATATCCAAGATAGATAGATATTTTTTTATTTCCTCCATAGTTTGAAGATTACAAATGTATATGTATGTTATACAGTCATATTACTGGCACATGATACAACAGAAATGCTCATGAAATAATCTATACAGGGTGGTAAGGTGAAATACAACAGTTATAAATATTTTTCCATTTACATACAGAATTTGAGACACATATTATAACATTTGCCCACACATCATAGTTTAGCTGGTCCTTTACATCTTCAGGTATTCCGCCAAGTAGAAATTTCAGGAATTCATCATCATCATCGTAGGTCCATAATTTTACAAAGATATTGACATCAAGTATGTCACAAATTTGTTCAAATAAGACATTTCTTTCAGCAATATTAATCTTACAAGACATAAAAACGTGCTTTAAAATATCGTACGCCACAGTGCCACACTCACATTCCTTTGACTGAATGGGAACAGAACCCAGTTTAATAAGAAAACCAATACGTTTATAGTACCTTGGTCTGTCAAGCGCCAGTTGCCATAGTCGATTTACACCGTCCGATCTTATTGACTGATACCGTATCAATGACAGCCTTGACTGCATGGCATACTCTGCTGCTTTTCTATCACATTGTAAGACCTTTTCCCGTACCATTCTTGACCATTTCCTTTTACATAAAAATTTAGAACACACTACATATTGTTTAATTTCTTCCTGGATACCATATTTAGGTGATAATTCCAACATTTGAATTATAGGTGATTTCATATTTCGTTTATGCTTTCTGCCATTCATAATTTCATTGTCATATTGCGAGAATCTATGTAAAAACAACTGTTTAAAAGAAAACTTAATACTGTTGTTACATAATCTGCCAAGTAGCAACAGAGAGCGTTGATCTATATAAGCTTGTAATGACAGAATACCAAGGTTTTCCACAACAACTTCATTAGGCATATACCTATCAAAACCCTGTATTTTTTTACAGAAATAACGCTGTGTGGTTTCCAACATATCATATTCTTTATTAGATAGCTTTCCCCATACACTGCATCCATATAGGCAGCATGGCAGTATAACTCTGTCCCATATACGAATTGCAGCAATAGGATTTAATTCTCCATAATGCAACCCTGAGTCATGGTTAATATTAATCATTTTTCTCAGTTTCTCACAAACATTACCTGTTCTATTAACAGATGATTTGGAGGTAGTAAAATACACTCCAGCATAAATAATGAATTGTTTTGGAGGTACATGGATATTACAAAATAAAAGGTCATTGGGCGATACATTTCTGTTGTTACCAAACATCAATACAGCACTCTTACTTACATTATATTTCAGCTTCCATTTGTTTGCATAACATTCAGTTACAAAATAAAAGGTCATTGGGCGATACATTTTTGTTGTTACCAAACATCAATACAGCACTCTTACTTACATTATATTTCAGCTTCCATTTGTTTGCATAACATTCAGTTACATCATAGTCCCAAACATTGTAGTCCCTTGGGGTTGGAGCTGGTAAGGGTTGTGTCATCAGCTAACAATAAGCCGGGACATTTTCCCCATGGGAGGCATAATCCACAACTTTTTCTATTAAGATCATGTAATAAGTCATTTATGTACAGTGAAAAAAGCCACGCTGATATAACACGGCCTTGCCCGACACCTTGTTTAACATGAAATTGGTTCGATTTGAACCCTGCAAAACCAACATAAGAGTGCATAGACATATAAGATAAACGAAGGAGTCTCCACATTTTACCAGATATACCAAGTTTGTCTAATTTATAAAATAGACCATCAAGCCACACACGATCAAACGCTTTCTCATTGTCGAGAAAAGCACAGTATACTGGTGAGTTCTTTTCGTTGTAATATGCAATGGTTTCAGTAAGTGTAAGCGCTGCCATCTCAGCTCCTGCGTTTTTTCTGAAGCCAAACTGGAAAGGGTGGGGGAAGGAAGTGTTATTATCTGTCCATTTCTCAATCCTATCTAGGAGCAGACGTTCTAAGAGCTTACTCAGGGTAGATGTTAATGATAAAACCACGTACTTAAAAGGAACGCAGTCACATTCCTCAGAGCTCTAGGTCTCTTATTTTGACCACAAACTGCTGCTCTGTGTAAAGGGAGGCAACTCGCGTGGCCCTGTTCGGCCCTTGAGCAGATTATTTCCCTCATGGTCCCATTTGGAGGGGGCACGTTGATATCAAGAGACAAACGTATTGAAAAACGGTCGCATTTTCTATATCCAAGTGTGCTGGTCAGTTGCATCTGGAAGTAAACATTTAATACCAACATTTGACTGTTACTGTTTAATTTGTCACGTACATAAGTATGTACGTGTGCTAAATCACAGATTGAGCATTATGTATTTACTTCACGGATTGAGCATTATGTATTTACTTCACGGATTGAGCATTATGTATTTACTTCACGGATTGAGCATTATGTATTTACTTCACGGATTGAGCATTATGTATTTACTTAGTATTTTCCATCACATCTTGCACGTAACATTTTTTATTCGTCGTTTTCCATGTATTCAGTTTCATAAACAACAACCTAATCAACTACTTCAAGAACGTGTACTGCAACAACTTGTACTTCAACTGCTTCAAAATCATGCACTTCAACTACTTTAACAACATGTAATTCAACTGCTTCAACAACATGTAGTTCAAGTGCTAATCATTTTGTCAACTTAGTGAAGCTATTGAGTCTGGCTTGTATATGTTTGTGTTGGACATCCTTCATACTAAGTGACCGTACAAATATGACGCAGAGTGTATGTGAACTGTTACCGAGGATATCTGAAATGTCAACGACAGCACTTTCCTGTCATGCGTACACAGTTTACCCATCATCCATTTCAACCGAATTTATATATAGGTTGCTGTCCTGGAAATTCAAAACAAATCATGAATGAAAACACGATAAAATATACGAGATAAAATATGCGGATTCGAAATGCAACCGTGTTGATGAAAGACCGGATGCCTAATATAATTCCCAATTTGAACTGTTGATCTTTTCAATGAATGAATGAATGAATGAATACAAAACGGATGATGGCGACAATGTATGTCCAAGACAAGAACGGATCGATGGAGTTATAGTGTCTTCTGATGCGGATATGTGTCAGGAATTTGGATCTTGTGTTTGTATCACACCTGACGGATCCCCCGAGTCCGTTGTATATCCCCTATGACGGATAGAAGGAGGCATTTTCTATTTCTGCTGTGACGGATAGATGGATTCCGTTTCTTAATTAGTCGTGATGGATACATGGATTCCATGTCTTAAGTACTCGTGGTGGGAGATGGATTCCGTTTTTAATTGTTACTCGTTATGGGGAGATGGATTCCATGTCTATATCTCTCGTGATATGGAGATAGTTTCCTTTCTTTGTTACTAATTCAATACTACCACCTAATATATACAGTTAGATTACAGTTAAATAATTAAAGTACTGTATAAGACTGCATTTGTTAATTAAATCTACCAGATTGTAAGTTTAATTTGTGTACAGATTGTATTATTTCTTTGTTTTCCTGTACAGAATTTGAAACAGTATAAATTTGATTTCAAATCATATCCATGTTTATATAACACATATTACTTCTAATAATGGCGGAATACAGATACATAGTGAAGGTATTTTCACAAGTAGCGTCAGAGGAGCACGACGGATTTCATACGAATATCAAACGAATCTACATGCCATCTGAGTTACTTTTCACTCAGGAAATAGCTGGTATACCCCAGTCCCAAGGTCTGAATCGATTCCAACTGTGTCGACAACATTAGCTAACTTGTGGTATTGGATTTGCGACAATGAACGTGAACATCCCATATCAGTGTCAATAAGATTTACTTTATGAGCGTTTGAAATTCGTTCCTTTTGTGATGAGGATACCTATGATCCGGGGTTCGAATCTCAGACTCGCTTTGATTTTAATACTTGGTTTGTCTACACCACTCTTCGGTTGTTTGACCAAGTGGAGCATCTTGGAGCTACATCACCTCGAGAATTTCTTATCGCATCGTGATATTACTGAAACTGTCTAAATCGACATTCAACTCACTCATACATATAAGTGCCCCTGACAAAACAACTGTTTATTCGTTCGTTATTCGATGTTGTTCGTTATTCTGATGAATTTAAATGAAGCCCATTTCTGGTGTCCCCGCAGTGATGCTGCTGGAATATTGCTAAAAGATGCGTAAAATAACACTCACTCACTCATAAATTTAAAGCAACGAAAGGTTCAAGCCCTCTTACCACAACGCGAGATTATATTTGACAGTTCCCGACCATTTATAGTAAGTATTTTCAGAGCCTCATATTTTTGTCACCGGACCAGCTTACGATGATGATATAAATACATTTCCTGTTCAGACTTGTTTGGCAGAGAAATGTCAAGAGCATGATTCTGGCTCTGTGGCTGTTATTAAACTGGTGTTATTAACCTGAAATGGTGGAACGACGCTTCATGCATTTCAGTTATTCATTCCACGACAATATTTAAGCGTTGATGACAAGTTGATATATATGCCATAATGAATAGTGAACTTTTCTTTTATTCCCAAATTGAGTTTACAAAACATTGAAAGTTATTGCAAGCACACAATCCTATGGGTAACAAAATCAGAAGCACCGGAACGAAGTAAGGTTCTAAAAATAGCCTGAATAATTTGGGTCAGCGACAGCGTGCGAGGAGGGGGAGTCAGTTGCTTCAGAATATGTATGCTGTCAGCATCGTCGCGTGGATTCTTCTCCGCATCAGCTGTGTGTTATGCCAGCGTCCTTTAGCCGATGAAAACACCATACCAAGATTTGAACCTACGCTTGTTTACAAATGGGTGACGATGGATTATATACGGCCCAGTAACATGTCGGAGCATCGGTTCCGAATGACCTACCCCTACGACTACAGAAACACCATACTCGGTGGGCTCAATGTGTACAAAGGCGACATTTATGTGACAGTTCCTCGTATAAATCGCGGAGTCTCGGCAACTTTAAACCGGGTTGTTGAAAAAGACGGAGCCCCGTTTCTCGAATCGTTTCCGAACTGGGAATGGCAGACACTTGCGGACTGCGAGGCATTACAGACGGTGAACAACATAGAAATCGACCCCGTGAAAGGATGGATGTGGATAATTGACACTGGAAGAGTGAATACCTTTTGGGGTGGAGTGAGAAACTTGTGTCAGCCTAAACTTATTGTTTATGACATTGACAAACGAGAAGTCGTCACTCGTTATGTATTTCCAACAGAAGTGGCGTCAATTACTGGTTCCTTTCTCTCCGACATTGTCATTGACCCGGAAGCTGGATATGCATATATTTCCGACATGCTTAAACAGAAGGTGATCTTCTACAGCATGAACGACAACTACTCCATCGCGGTGGGACACCCGTTATTCGCGTTCGAACTTGGCAATAAAACAATCACCATTGATGATCGTACTATGATACTGGCAAATGTATCTGCAAATATCGACGGAATCGCATTGTCACCGAGAAGGGACTATATTGTTTTTTCGCATCTTGGAGGGAAGGGACTGTATAGGTTAAGAACGGCGTTCTTCAGAAAACTCCTAAAAGACCCCTCGTATGTATCCAAACTGGATGAGTATATTATGAGAGTAGGATTCAAGCCGTCACAGTCTCGGGGCATGGTGTTGGGCCACAACAACTTGTATTATGGCGCTCAAGGCCTGGGTGCCGTGTATAGTTGGGAGATCTCCGATCTACTGAGTTACCCCGATGTGACTGAAAAGACAGTAGGAAATATTCCACAGACAAGGACAGTAGCTGACGAAAGAATCAAGTGGGTCGACACCGTTACCTTGGATACAGAAGGAGTTTTGTGGATTACGTCATCAAATCTTGTGCGGTATTTTCTTGATGTCATGGATTACCATCACACCTATAACTACTACATTTGGAAAGTCGACGTTAAGGAAAACAGTTATTTAAAGAAAAAGACATCGCCTCTGCCAACAACTACAACAACGACTACGACGACGACGACGACGACAACAACAACAACAGCTGCTGCACCAGTGAATGATAACAATGCTGCATCGAGAGCTGTGTGGATGGTGCTTCATGTGTTCAGTGTTTGTCTCGCGTTAATTGCTACTTAACATGCCTTCCTCCGTCTGCCATACAAGAATGAAGTTTGATTTTCTAAAAGATATTTTTTTGTTACTGCCTCTATGATTGTATGTTGATTTACACTGATGTCAGCTATTTTACCCTGCAGTAACTATTCGAGTGTGGACCAAGTAGTGGCTCATAGCCAGAGGCCTTACGTTATTTGTCATGAGGATACTGAAGGCACATACGCAGAATCTAAAAAAATACGTTTGTGCAGAAAATTTGAAGGGCACTACAGGTGGAAGCACACACGAGACTGACTTCAGGACGAACTCAGGCAACACGCGTCTGAATCCTACGGGTCCTTTACTGGTGCTTGGATACTGTTTTGTCAGCTGAAGTTTCTATTTCTTGATATGTTGCACAAATACAGTGTTCGATATGCACGGTTTACAGTGGAAATGCACATATATACAATACAGACTGCTAAACACACACACGCACGTACGCACGCACGCACGCATGCACACAGACGCGGGTTGATGTGCAACCGTTTCCCGACCACTGTAGATAGGAATTCGTGATATTATACCAGAGCTAGTTTATTCAGCAAATATACTCATGCCAATAATGGTTGTCACCCCCTTCAATTTTTTTAATTGGAGAGGGGGTGTGAGGTGTGTGTGGAGTTGGGGTGGGGAGGGGGGTGACAACCATTATTGGCATGAGTATATATTCACTCTCAGACTCTAAATGTCGTAATTACGCTGCGGTGTATATTCAAATGTGTTCATTTCGACTGAAAGCATTGCATTACAAAAATATTCGTTACTTTCTCACTTTATAACATGTATATATCATATTCCGGTTGTTGATTTGTTGACTGTTGTTCATGTACTTTATCTATGTTATATGTTTTGTCAGCTAGTCTATTTATTTGCAATATATGCGAGTTTTATTCTCGCTATGGACGACTACATGTATTTAATCTGAACAGTGGAATCATCAATATGACGATATTCTCAAGTGTTTTACTCAGAATGTGACTGTTTCAAGGGATTAAAGCCGCCAGGTTGATGGCGAGGCAGCGGTGGGTCCCAAGTACCCATACTTCGGGCAAGAGTCGACTATTGAAGATCGGATGGTTAAAATGTGTACAGTAAGGAGTACATTTTCTCACTTTGACTCCGCAGCATAGACCACTATCACTCCTCCACGACAAACCTTGCCCAGATTCATAAAGTTACTTACCGGCCACTACAGGTGGAATATTGCTGACTGCGGTGGAAAAAACGCATTCACTCACTTATGGACAATTTTATGTCTACAACCAGTATTTAGAAGTCAAGACATGTTTCTTTAATTCAGTTCGGTCGATTTTGTCCGTGCACACTGCCAAAATGTATTCACTGCCGTCGCCATATTCTAATGTATGACGTCTGAAGAAAATTGCACGAGATGCTCAGAGCTGAGTCGGAAATGCATTGATAACTGAAGTGCCATCCAGGGACCTGTATACAACGGGTCTGCCTTATGTTAATAGTATTGGTTAGCTGCCTGGCATTTCACACTGGTTACAAGGTCGACAATAGTCTCTCATTTATGATGACTTTATTTACAATAAAGTATAAAGGACATATTTGAGCTTCTGTTTTCATTTATAAGATGAAGGCATCAGCAAGTTTACAAAAGCTTGCAAAAGCTTATTGCAGACCTGTAGAGCACATTCCAACAATTGACACATCGGAGACAAAAATGATGATGCAGTTCACCATTTTGATTTGTGACGTGTTTTTCATGTGAACAGTTGCCTTGCCCTTGCATGTGTTTTTTGACGAGTGCCACTGATGGGGCCACCACCTTGTATTGTCAGCGTAACTTTCTTTGACCAACTTGTACAGTATCATGTCATAATGCAATTGTTTCATATTAAACACATGCTAATGTTATAGTCGGACATTTTTAAGGATTGTGGAACTGTTTGTCGCTTTACCATAAGACACGGACCTCCAGTGGAATCACTGTGTGCTGCGTGGGTATACCGGCGGTTGCACAAGTGTACACACAACGTTATTTAAAAGGGTTAGTAAATTATCAGGATACTTGAGTAACGATGTAAACGTTCTAAGTAATGCTGTTATTAGTCTATGAAAATTGGTAATGGTCACCTCTCTTGTGACAGAAGGAGATGTGTCTATGTTGTGTTGGTTGTATCAGGGCAAGTTTCAATGACGTTCAGTATGTACTCAACAAATGCACCAATCAACAGGGGAGTATTGATCATGTGTGTCCGTCTTATTGCTTGCCCAAGAGTTACTTCCCTTAAAGAAGTCGTAATGACTGGGAAAAGTTTTATCAACACTGAAATGATCATATTTACTTGAGAGCAGGTGACGAATCATAGAATGACTGTGTGTAGTCTGACATCGGTTTGTCATGTAATGAATGTGTTACGTCATCCACCATGAACTGACTGTGATGCCAGCTATACGACGCGTCCATAAAATCGCCCATTCTCTGTGTGAAATAAACGAGTGAACGTGCAAAGAAGCTCTTAATCTTTCTAAGAAATACCATACTACACAGTTTAGTCTTGAGTACATGGCAGTCTTAATGGTTAACAACTTCTTCTATTCTTTGCCACGACGTTTCAGAGCGACGTCTTGCTCGACCACCTGATCCCGTCGCCTCTTACGACAAGCATGGGTTGCTGAAGGCCAATTCTAACCCGGGTTGATAATGGGTTGATTATGAGGTTAGTTAAATAGGAATGGACTTTTGGATTCCTTTTTGTCCACTGCCTCTGGAGTATTTCCGTCAGTGTACATGTATTTGTTGCCGCCTGTTGCCTTAAGGATGCCCCATCTCGTTTGCATCACCTCGGGAGATTCTGGTTGTGTTACGATTGGGAAGCTGTCCAAAGCAACCTGAAACCATGTCACTATGTATCTCATACACAAGATCTTATGAAAGTGTGATATCTTTTCATACTTATTTCACGCCATCTTGTATTCAAAGTAATCTGAATATCAAGACCCTAGTCCAAACACACTAACAACCGGGAATATACGAGGCATTAAAGTTCCAGACCAAATTCCCGTCTAGCTGCAGCACAGTGTATTTCTGTAGTTTTCCCGGACTCTCATCGAATGGTTTGGTTACAATTATCATGTCATTATATTTCCTGCACAGAAATGTCAAGCGGTCGGTTGAGTACTTGTGGGCTGATACCAGGCGAGCATATTTACCAAGCTGTGCGTGCATGCGACCTCATCGATTCATTCGATAACTACATACATATGCTTTAATGAATAGTCATCTCATTTCTTTTCCAATAAAATATTCAAAGCATTCATCCATCATTGAAACAACACAACGCTATGGGCAATAGAGAAAGACGCGCCGGTCCGTGTGTTCTGATGACCTGTCCCTACGACTACAGAAACACTGTACTCGATGTTGTCGATTACACACAGTGACTCAAATATACCCGTGAAACTCCGGGTTAGAATTGATCTTCAGTAACCAATGCTTGTCGTAAGAAGATCGGGTGGTCAGGCTCGCTGACTTGGTTGACTCGTGTTGCCGTATCCCAATTGATCGATGCTCATGCTGTTGATCACGGGATTGTCTGGTCTGGATCCGAATATTTACATACCGCCGGAATATAGCTGGAATATTGCTGACTGCGGCGTAAAACTAAACTCACTCAATGACTCTCCCAGGAGTGTAAAATCAAGTTTGTTTTTACTGTCCATCATGTCTCCTGTCTATGAGTAACCTCCCTTCAGTAAAAGCAGAGACCGCTGTTTTTGCTTTGTCTCCATTGCCAGGGGATCCACCTTGTGATCTGTCGTAACGCCAATTCTTCGACGCGGCCTTAAAATCACCAATTCTCGCGGTTGCATTCCATCTGCGTCTCGTTATTTCTGTCGGCCACTCTCTCCACCTTCAGCGCGGTGGATTAACTTTAATTGTTAAAGCATTCGTTAAGCACGTTGGAGACCTGGGTTCGATTCTCCACATGGGTACAATGCGTTGAGCCCATTTCAGGTGTTTTCCCGCTATCATATTGCTGGAATATTACTAAAAGGGCTTAAAACCCCATTCACTCAATGTTTTTTTCTCACCAACTCCTACGACTCATGCTGTATCTGAACTCTTATGATTAATAGACGAATGACCATATACTGACGATGCTGATCTTTCCTCAAATACGGTATTACCCATGTTGGTATAGACCCTCATCATTGGTTCATCCACCCTCAAAAGTCGATCATCCACCCTCAAAAGTAGTTATTTCTTTCAATGACAAGTCAGCCAGTGTTGGCTTTCGGAGGGTCAGAAGAATAAACCAATAGTAATTAGGTGCCTATATTAATAGACATTCTCTGAAATTACTATTTAAAAAAAACCCCGTTTTTAAATAAAAAAGAAAATACAAAAAAAAGGAGCCCAGAGACTTTCTTCATTTTTAGAAACTGAAACTGTGGTAATCTAGACTTGCAACACATTCTACACTTGCATGGGCTGCAGCGGGTATTTTTTATTCAGAAAGACTATTAGGTTCCCTACTCTCAGAGTGTTCGAATCCCGGATAGGACCATAACCGACGCAGGCACGCACGCCCTTCTTCTTCTAAAAAAGCATCGTGTATTCATTCGAAGAATGTGTTGCAGATTGGGGAAATGATAAATTAAACGACGGATTGTTCTATACAGATTTGACCGTTCGCCAACAGCGTTGGTATTGACATCTAACATACACTATTCACAGAATCACAGACATGACAATCACATAACATTAGTCAAACAGGAATGGAATTTTCGACTCTTTGTTCGCCAGTGCCACTGGAGTATTTCCGTCTCTATCAGTGCTGTACATGTTGGCTCCTGAAGCCACAAGTATACGCCAGATGTGAGTGTGACCCTTCAGTGCTGCCAAGTGAAGTGGCGTCTGCAATTTCTCGTCTTTCAGGTTGACCTCTGCTCCTTTACCAATAAGAGTTTCCACTATTTCAGAAAACCCGCGCTGCGACGCCCAATGGAGGCATGTTTTGCCATTGAAATCCTTATGGTTTAAATCTGGTTTCTTAACAAGCACACTCTGTATCACAGCCATGTGTCCATTGACACACGCTGCGAGTAAAGGCTGCCCTCCAAATGTATTGCTCATTGTTATGTCTGCGCCATGGTCAATCAGAGTCTGCACTATTTCTAAATGTCCTTTCAGGGATGCGTAAAATATCGCAGTGGAGCCGATCGAATCACAGCAGTTGATGTTTGCACCCCTTTCAAGAAGCTGCTGAACAATAGAAAGCTGTCCATGAGCACTGGCACTGTGTAGAGGGGAGCACCCTTGTGTGTCGGTGATGTTGATGCCAGCTCCTTTCTCCAGAAGGAAGTTAGCTAATGAAATATGTCCTTCAACGGACGACAGCAGCAATGCGGTCTGACCAAGACTCGTTTTTTGGTTGATATTTGCCCCTTTGTTCAGCAACATTTCCACAGCTTCTGTTTTGCCTGTTGATGCAGCCTGTAACATGAGTTGACTGGCTGTTGGTGTGGATGTTGTGGATATCACAAATTCTAGCAAGGGCACGCAACCTTGTCTTGCAACAAGACTTGCAAAGCTGTTCCCTCGCTTATCCTTCAAGTCCAGGATATTCTTAAGTTTCTTCGGTTCTAGTCCAGAAAGGTAGTTCTTCCAGTGTTCAGGGAACCCTTTTTTGAAGAACCTTGAGTCGTTGAGCAAATCTGATGCATGTCCTCTTTCTACCTCCAGTGTAAGACGCTCAGCCAGTGTTGAGAATGACTGGGCGTTTATAGTTACTGAGCAGGGGTTCCGTCTGAATGCACAGTCACTTAGGGATAACAGAACTCGCTGTTGAAGCTCCAGGAAAGAACAGTGAGTAATGTAGAAATCTTGGTATTTTGGAGAATTACCAAAAATGTAGGCAAGCGCTTCGGCTACTGATTCATGTACAAAACGAAATGAAGGTCCCACCTTAATAACGTATGTACCTGTCAAGGAAATAAAGACTTCATGCAGTTTACACATTTCCATTATCTCATCGTGAAGTCCAAGCTCAGTTCGCAGAACTGTAAATAGCCTTTCTACAGGTTCAGGTGACTTCAGTCCAAGGAATTTTACAATTCGTGTCCCCACACCCTGCTCCTTGCCAGATTTAAAAGTTTCTTCTGGAATTATACCATCCCAAAACAACAACATCACAAGTGCAAAATATTTGATTTTGTCTGTCTGCTTCAAGTAATTGAGTTCATCAACCAAAACATCAGCCAAATGCCCCAGGAAAAAGCTAACGCCCTGCTTCTTGAGCTGCTGATCTGAGAAAAATATTCTGCATCGAAGGGGGAATCCTTGGATGTAGTCATTCTGTGCAATTTCCTTCATCTTGTTTTTGTTAATGCTTACATCAAAATGCTTGAGATGAAGCTCCAACATTCGAAATTTCTCATCAAATGTCAATTTCCACTCATCACTTGAAATATTGACAATGTTCCGAAAAATCTCCACTCCACGGACTATTCCTTGACAGTCTTTGTGAATGTAATCTCTAACGGTTGAAATGACCTTTGTGTGGCCCTGGCCAATGCATTCTGTCATTTCCTGACCAAGAAGAGCCCATTGTTCCAAAGCCAGACTTGGGAAGGCTTGAGTCTTTCCAAATACGTCATCGATGAATATGATCTGTTTGATGTTTGGGTTCCATCTCTGTCTCCACTCTTTAGGAGAGTTGACCGTTGCCACTTCATATCCGAGGGAAAGGTAATGTAGTACAAGGTGTTCAGCAAGGAATGTTTTCCCGTCCCCTTGCTTTCCAGTGATGATCACAATCCCTTTTTCATCTACGATTCGCCGAATCTGTTTGTAAGCTCTTGTCTTGTAGAAGAGATCACAGTCTTCTTTCCATTTTTGGACGCGACTCAGCAGGCGAACTTAAAAAGAAACAGAAATGTTCATGATATGCGTGTCATGATAAAACCGAGACACTAATTTTCGCTATGATTGAAAGTCATTGCATCTATATTTAGAAAGTGTAAACACTCACCATCAATATTTGGAGACCATTTCAGACAAAGGCAGATACTTTTGAGCTTGTTTACTATTTCCAAATCAAGGGTGAAATCGAATGTGGCTTCTGGATAAAGAAAACATAGAAATAGGAATATAGTGATGAACACATCTTTATAAAGACACCATGGAATTAGCATTTTTTACTGTGAACATGGAGAACATGGAAGACAGAACGAATCAATTTATTGTCCAAGTAGAGTTCCGATTCATAATGATGATTCAACTGTTGTATTTTCTTCTATAGAGTTGTTTTCAAAATACAATGGATAGTTCGTATGTGTAAAACATAGGTGCGTCCTATGTTGACGACTCTTTGACATGAGAATACGCAGCACAAAGGCAAGGCCTGTTGAGCATTGTACTCGGCTAGTCCACTCTAGCTATATAGTGTTATGTCTATGCGTTACCGTTTACTTGTTCCAGATTGAGGTCTTCCACAATATCGCGTCTTTCAATCTGATCTAGGATGTTGCCAAGGAACTGCATGCTCTTGTCCATCTTCCAGGACTGGACAACAACTTTCCCCCACTTGTCCAGCATCCGAGCAACTGCACAGCACAGACCCATTGTTTGAAATGAGGCTTGAAGGTTCTGTAGCTGAATACTGGAGAAACCGATATGGATGCCGAACTTGTGCCAGTCTTCGGCCAGTCCATGGCTGATTTTATCAATCACTGTCTCCGGCAAACCTGTGTCAAGAGATGACAGTAGCTACAAAGTGCAATACTGGGAGTTTCCACGAAATATATACTGCAGGGGCAATTAACTTATCTTTCATCACAGCAGGCGTTAGATAGATAGATAGATACCACATGCTCCTAAGGTGTTAAGCGCTGGATGATAATCGTATATATGTATTTTTGATAACGTAACAATGTCGCCATTTCGTGCGCGCGTAGAACTAAATGATATAATCTGTGCATGGAATATCATTTTGAAATCCCAGTGGTCGTTTTATGTCAGTGATAACTAAGCTTTCATCTTTTCTCTAGAAATGATTTCATCCATCTTTCGTTTCCGTGACGTATTCATAATACAAGCTATTTGCAATTATGTTTCACTTCATTCTGGCTTTAAAGTTAGCCCATTCATCTCAGGGGGGAACAGTTCACTGCAAAGTATGCCAACCCATCAAAGTCAGAAACCTATGATCGAAGATTCGAATCCAAGCACCATAGATACATCTCTTCGAGCTTTTCCCCGACATCATTTCACACCCTATAACTGACATACTACACAGAGCCCACGTTAAATCAAACTCACTCACTCACTCACATCGTGGAATTCTCTATGTCGAGTTGCTTACCCTAGATGTGACGGAAACGTCACATCTTGAGTTCGAATCCCCGATTGATGCTGAGTATTCCACTGCCGTTGTAAAAAACATCGATACCGAGGCTAAGACTGTCGTGGGTTTATGCGTTACGCAATGGGAGATACGATCACGCTAGTGCTAAGATCGCTTTGTACAACGGCACCCTGCGTTTAAAGCATAATACCAATGAGGTAAAGTGATAACATCTAAGACTTGCATCACTTCCGGCTTCCTTCCACGTGAAGCTAACAACACGTGATAACCGAACTACTTTTAAATAGAAGAAAATTGGCCCACAATAGTCGTAACTGTGTCACGAAACATTAAACAATTAGTAAAGTGTACACCCATCATCTCCAAAGTTCACGACCGTTTCTGATCATTGATTGATGATACCGCGTTTAGAAATATTTACCCACTCATTCCCACAAGTACTGTAGACGTTTGATTATGCATGCCCTGTAACATGTGTTATATTTGGGATTACACTTTCTTAGTAAAGACAGATTCTAGTACTTTTGTTGGGTTGAGTCCCATCATGGATTCGAACCCACACCCTAAGAGTCTGGCACCTAATCACCAGCACACAAATGCAGCCGCCTGTACATGTCTTGGTAACACTTTGGTTAATATTACATATTTTTAAATGCAGGAGCCAGATTTGAAAAATATGTTATAAAACACATGTGGTGGAAACCGTCTTTTCTATATTCATGTCTAGTGTACGTTCTTACGACGGCTTGGGCACGAGCAAACCAAAATACTAACATTACAAATCAAGTATCAGTATGAAGTTTCGACCCCTTAAACAGCGAATCCGAGCGCGAGTAGGGGACGTGTTAACTTTTGGAAAAATATATTTAATTTTGAATTCATATTTGGAGAGGAACTGTTTCAAGTGAATGTGGGACTGCTGCTATAAAGGGACACGTCGGTGATGTTCCATACCTGGGGTGATGACAGCTGTCATTGTGGCCGGTGTGGAGGCGCCGAACCAGATTACCTGAACATTGGTGTTCCTCTGGTACCTGGAGACGAAGTAGATCTTTTAACCAAACACAAATACCTGATACTATGAATGTACAAACAAGGACATTAGTAGTCTACCGTCGGAAATAGGGACGGCATTCCTGGAATCCTGAGATACCAACTTAAATGTACGTAGAGTCAAAACAACATAACATACATTTACCTGACTTAAAGAATGTAAACCCTTTCTGTGCAGTGTTCCGTACCCTAACTTGCTCACCGAAACATGACCATTCAAACGTCTTAATTCTAAATAACTTGTCTCCGAATAGTGTTGAAAACGGTGTAAAACATGATTCAATCACTGTATTATGACTATACAAGCATACTATTTTCAACATGAATCCTACCAAATGTAACTGTACACAGTCACATGAAAGGAACATGAAACATATATTTATATTTTGCCATGTTTATATTTACATACATGCACTTGTGACATCTATTTATGATCACAGTATATCACAAAACAAACAACATTAAATGTTAAAATTAAAATCCAATCTCCCCCCACAAAAAAAACAACAAAAAACAAAACAGAATTCTTAAGAAACTGAAAGTAATACAAACGATCGCGTGGCTGCTACATACATCCCGGTACCCGTGTCACTGAGGAAACGGGGCATGCATTGACAGATGTCCTCATTGTTGACGGATGTAGGTCAAGCGTTTGAACTTTTTTCTTCATTATCGTTTTGTTCATTCTAAAAGTGGCGTGCTGACAGGAACGTAAAATACCCTGTTTACAGTGTAGCTGATAGATGTGGTCGTTTGAGGGGAAGACTTATCACAGGAAGTTAAAACCGGTATGTACTTGAGACTTCACCTTCACATCGGACATCTGGATTAGAGTTTGGGTGTTGAAATTGGATTTTTATATTTCAGTTGATATATCTGCAGAACTATGAATGAGCAGTCATTCAAGATAGTTATGTTTGTTGTTACTTTGATGCTTTCCCAACCTAATACATTTTTTCACTGTCTGGCATATATTTATAAAAAAAAATAAAGTTCAGAAAAAACAGGACGTGCGTTCCTTATTCGCGAACACCTGGTGTCATTACTGATATCCCGTGTTCTATTATTATCGGTTTCATCACTATTTTGCCTTTAGACCTATGGAACTTGTTCCGGCAGTTGGTCAAGGCTGGTTGTTCTCTGGTATTAACGTTTTGAGCTGCCATCTTATGTAGGTTTGTGTGGAATCAGTAGAGCCGTGATTAGCCACACAGACACCCACCATACTGACAGACAACGCACGCAAACTGGTGTGAATTTGGAGCATTGGAGTTCTTTAGTCTATGTTTTCGAAACCAATAATTTGATAACATATCAAATGCATTATAGAACAGATTCAGAGCTAGCACATTGCATTCATAGCTACCAAATCCACATGCAGGGCGAAGTGTCACTAGTTTGGAAATATAGGTATAAATAACGACCAGGTGTCATGAGGTGTCTAATGAGTGATGAAGGAATGAGATAATATGTGAAGTCACTCTCTGCTCGACTGTCACATTCAATTGTGCACGTAACACCTTCCAAGAGTGATGAACTCCCTTCCGGGTTCTAGCACGAACTGGTGACCACGCCTATCCCCGGAACCTATATCGCCCCCAACTGGACGACATGTTTCTGACGTTTCAAATACCAAGTATATATATACCACCGCATATCAGGTTAACGCACGATAATAACCCGGCGTGGCCATAACCTAGGCGTGTACTTTACCGTTATGGTGCAGGCACACCATCCATCTCTCGTGGCACAGCTAAAAGACGTTGCGAAATTTCAGTTCACTTTACTCTTCGGGAGGCATCCGGTGTCATTTCTGATATCTGATCCGAAATCCTGCTTCAAAACCATATTTAACCAAGATAATGTACATGTCTTTAACGGGATCGGGTGGTCAGGCTCGCTGGTTGACACACCTCATCGGTTCCCAGTTGCGTAGATCGATGCTCATGCTGTTGATCACTGGGTTGTCTGGTCCAGACTCGATTATTTAAAAACCGCCGCCATATAGCTGGACTCACTCACTCACATGACTTTATACACCACCTTAAAATCGCTCAAACAGGCACAAAACACTTTAAACTAAGGTCATAATGAACTCAAAGGCACCGCTAATTTTAGTTCGTAAAAACCGTAGTTCGTTACACGCATTTCGATTATACTCAAGTTGTCGGGACTAAACAACAGTTCGTTATAGCCGTGTGTTCGTTATAAGCGTGATCGTCGTAAGCGTAGCTTACTGCACATATATTGTCAGGCTGTGTTTAACGCCATTCCCCGTACATCTTCGAGCAACCTGATGTTGTAAAATGTAAACCGACTGCACTCGCTGATCCCATCAAACTTGACCCGCTTTATCACGCTCATGTTGTCTCGGCCAGCGCATCGTCTACTGTTTTGTTAGAGACGGCTTTCCATGAATACAAATTAGACTCCTGGACCTGCGACACACACAAAAACACGGAACTCCACTTCAACACTGAGGACATCGCCATGTCAGGCCGGGCTTCGTGATTAAGGCCGACGCCATTTTGACAGGATTTAGTCAGTGGTTAATCAACCTGGTTTAAGGTCACCAGCAAATAGATGAATAGCGAGGCATTGAGATATATAACTGGACCAGACTTAAATTTACTGTAACTGAAAGAGTATCACACGTCAGGTAGGTATGACACGATCAGGTAGGTATGACACGATCAGGTAGGTATGACACGATCAGGTAGGTATGACACGATCAGGTAGGTATGACACGATCAGGTAGGTATGACACGATCAGGTAGGTATGACACGATCAGGTAGGTATGACCTAAAGGGTATAAGAATATACCGTAACGTCGCCATTGTGAAACACAATAAAGAAGTTGATCATCCATATGGTTTTGTCATCTCTAGGTGTCCCCCTTCCCCGACCCCACCCCCCCTGAAAATTCCTGGATCCGCCTGTGTAGTGGGTTCGAATGCAAGATTGGACAGGGTTGTTGTTCTTTGTTAGGACGCATCCTAAAAGCACCAAGCACCAAATTGTTTAAAGTCCCGGTCATTTTGATTTTGTCTTCTCACATAGTAATGTAATATGGTGTCAGATACACTCACTCACGCACTCTTCGGCTGCGCTACCTTTGTATGGGTAAGCACTGTTAAATGGCGTTTAATGTATACATACTTGATCCCATGTATAGTCAGATGGTTTGGTAAATACCAGGATCCTGGCGACCTGATTTGTACATGGAACAAGCTTTATCACATAACTATTGCATAATTATATTTATAACCGTCCACAAAGACAAAAAGCCCGATTCGATAAACAGGTGGTAACCAATGGTGTTGTTAGCTATCCAGAGCTCCAAGAGAACCGGTTTCAGGATCCGATGATTATGTATAGCTTAAATCTATAATATATCATTCGTATTCAACCAAAAAAGATTTTTCTATACGTAGTTTTGTAAATTATTATTTCAATTCAGCCGAGTCTCTAAATTAGGTTTTAAAAATCAAAATCGTATTTATGGAACCGTACATGATTAAAATGCCAGGCAAATGTATTATCTGTTCATTAAGGTATTCGCTAATATTATATTTTACCACTATTTTGTAATTGGGCTAAAAAAATTATCTGTGTTGGGAATCGAATCCGGGTATTCGGCTTTGCGAATATCCCTGTGAAACCAAGACGGCCTATGGTAACCAGCGTTCTATTGCCTCAGGTGAGCGGCATGAGGTTGTGTGTCAAGATGACTGTACTGAGTTTTCACGGATGACAAACGGAACAAGTAAAACACACGTACATTTTCGACAGTATTCATTATCTTTCAAGAGCAAATACTACAGAGGTCAAGGTCAGATGCTAGCAGTTCCGGCTTTGTCGACTGATAAAGGTTGGGAGATAACACAGTATTACGCACCCGAAAACTTAAACGGTATTGGAGTGAGTTTGCACTTAGCGCTCGACTGTTGCCACACTGACTACCGTTACTGTTTATACATCTGTGATAAATTGAATATCTGCATGTTTGACCTACATATGCAGATGTGATAAATTACAGATGTGATAAACTTAAAATCGGCATGATTGACCTATACACACAGGTGTGATATATTGAAGGTATGTATGATTGACGCGATACATACAGATCTGATAAATTGAAGATCTGCATAAATGACGCTATAGATACAGTTGGGATAAATTGAAGGTCTGTATGATCTACGCTACATATACAGGTGTGACATATAGATGGTCAGCATGATTAACCTATACATACAGATGTTATAAACTGAAGATCTGATCTGCATGATTGACCGATACATACAGGTGTGATAAATTAAAGATCAGTGTGATTGACATATACATACAGATGTGATATATTGAAGGTATGTATGCTTGAAGTTATACACAGGTGTGATGGATTGAAGATCTTCATGGTTGACCTATACATACAGGTATGATAAACTGAAGGTCTGTATGATTGACGCTATACAGGTGTGACATATTGATGGTCTGCATGATTGGCCTATACGTACAGGTGTGATAAATGTAAGGCCTGCATGATTCACGCTAGACATACTGATATGATAAATTGAAGATGTGCATGATTGACCTATAAATACAGATGTTATAAATTGAAAATCTGATGTGAATGGTTGACCTATGCATACAGGTGTAATAAATTCAATGACTGTATGATTGACGCTATACATGCAGGTGTCATAATTGAGAATCTGATCTGCATGATTGACCTCTACATACACGTGTGATATATTGCTGATTGGCATGATTGACCAGTACATACATACACATGTGATATATTGAAGATCGGCTTGATTGACGCTATGCATACATGCGTGATATATTGAAGGACTGCATGATTTTCGCTATACATACAGGTGTGATATAGTGAACCTCTACATGAAGTAAACTATTACGTATGGTTACCTGTTTGAGAGATTCGAGATTACATCCAGTTAAATGTATGCTGAAGATCTAGATGATTGATGGCAATACAAAAAACAAATGTGTGTAGAAGCTCAACACTGCTCATGGGTACAGGGGCACTTTGCAGAATCTGTCTAAACAATTGCATCCTGCTCAGAATCCAAATTGTGTGAAGGTTCATACGACTCATTTGAGACAAATATTGACAAAACGTGCAATGCGAAATCGCGACATAGCTGTGCTGACCCAGTGCTTACTGCAGTCCCTCAAGATATAGGTTTACATCTGGAATTCATGAATGCTTAAGGCGGTTAATCGTTCCTCAGTAATCAGAATTAGGGCAGCTTGTCACTGTGTACAAACCCCGACTAAGCATTTCTATGCAGGTAACAATCGTAACAAATTTTATGATAGATGGTAATGTCAGTTTGATGGCTGGCGCAGTGGCTGGAGGGCTGTTATATCAAGTTGTCGACTATCGCCGCAGGGGTGTACCGCACCTATCTGTTTAACTTTGTCGTCGTAACGCCAGTAAACGTTTGGAATTCCTATAAATGTCAGAGCATAACAGCTTACGCTCACCGATGAGATACAATTCTAGTTCTAAATATTTTCCCATTCTGATTCAAGTTTACAACTAACACGTGGATAAGGGGACTTCATTTCAAATAAATATATTGCATGAGATTCCGTGTGTGTTGGTTACATCCTGGTGATGCTGTGTAAATATGACCTCGGTTGTCATAACAACCTTTACACAGTTGTTGGAACAAGTTACTTTTTTACCCAATATGTAACACATATGTACGTGCACGATGAACGTATACCAGATTCTCACCCTAAAACTCAGTACGTTTATGTACATAATTATGAATAAAATATAAACATGCCATTCTGGATAAGTGTGATACATAGTACATGTAGTTCATTTCTTTACACAGGGGATGTTGTTAATGCCTTTGTAAAATTGAGATGTGATCTGTAATGATAACTATGAGTAGGTGCTCTGTTGAACAGCGTGTCGAACCTCTTCTATTAACAGACAGGTAAACAGATGCTTGAAATACATCATCATAACTTGCTAAGAACTGCCAGTTAGTACGATCTTGCACTTAGTTAAACTAAATATATATTAATCGATTCTTTACTAAGCAGTGATATGGTAATAACAGTGATAACGCTCCACTCAGGTATTGCATAACAAACTTGTATCGGCCGCCCCAAGAATAGGCCCGTTTTGTGCTCACTTACCTGAATGTGAACGCGTCTCTGTGTTTGTTCTCAAATGTCAGCGATAGCAGATGTAGTTTATGCGTGTCGATTTCATCTTCTAACAAGCCTCGGTTTCATTCCCCGTCGCCATTGGTCATGACGTCAGCAAATTGAGGTCTTCCCGCTGAAACACTCGACCTGTTGGTATTGTATCTTGATTGTCAGAGCTTAAATGTATGTACGCTGTATGTAGCAAGGTATTAATGAGTAAATTGTTGTTTCCCTGAATAGTCTGTCGACATTAATGACGAATTAAATCATTTAACATAAGCGACTTCATCCTGTGATTGTAAGGTTGATATTATTCACACACAATTAATGGAATTCGGTGTTCGTAGTTGTATTTGCCCATCTCTATATGCAAGGGTCCACTTATCTGTCAATCTCTTTTGAGATATGAGTGAGTGAGTGAGTTTAGTTTGACGCCGCACTCAGCAATATTCCAGCTATATGGCGGCGGTCTGTAAATAATCGAGTCTGAACCAGACAAGCCAGTGATCAACAGCATGAGCATCGATCTGCGCAATTGGGAACCGAGGTGTGTCAACCACGCCAGCGACCCTGATCACTCGATCCCGTTAGTCGCCTCTTGCGACAAGCATGGGTTACTGAAGGCCAATATTCTAACCCGGACCTTCACGGGTCCTTTGGAAATATGACACTAACCTGAGTGACACATAGAATTGCATTTGTCAGTTACCATAACGGATAGTCGGACCCCTTGACTGGACACACTAGTCCAGTAACAAATAGTGGGATGTACACATTAGACTCACAAGTGGAGAGAGTGCAAAATTCTGTAAATGTATATTATAACATACCAAATTACAATACACTTCCAACAGTGTTATGAGGAAACATGAAGGAAACTTGATCTTGGAATGTACATAATGCATTTTAATATTTCTCTTTCTCTCATTTTTTTGTTTAAATATTTTCAAATTTCAATCTTTTCATTCTAAAGGTAAAACAAATATACATAGATAGTAATTAGAAAGTAATTAAGTAATTCAGTGTCCTTTGCTCCTATGTTTAATCAAGTAAGTGAATGGAGGAGCATGTTTGTTGAAGAATCACGACTGACTATTATTAACTGGGGAACATTTGTTTTCAGTTCAGTTGCTTATAGAAAGGACACAAATATTTACTGCAATATAAGTTACGGGTTATTTTAACTTGACCAGGACAATCTTATTGGTATCATTAGAGATTGAAAGCCCCGGTGGCCTTCCGGTACATGTCAGTGTCGACAGGGAAGGAGCATAATTATATTCTTCACGCATGTGCTTGTTCTTGCCGGCCTGTTGGTAACATGCACACGACACACGTGCTCTGGCTGCTACAACAGGGCTCCGATACAACCTGGCGTCGTCTCTGCACACTGTACCTTCAAATAGAATATTCTAAAGGACGTCTCGCAGTGATGAAAGAAATGAAGGCCTAAGGTCTGAAACACATCAATCGTTGTATATTTTTATACATTCGGAAGTTTATGACGAAATGTGCGGTGTTTTCATTACAACGTTGAATTCCTTCACGCAGAATACATCTCAGACTGCCCATGAAAGAGGTTTCGTAAGGGAATGGTTTTGTCACTTGTGTTCAACATTCACAGAAATACAGTCGTAATGTTATATTGCATAGGGCCACGTTGCACAAAGGTCTCTTATAGATAGGACTACCGTAAGCCTATGTTAATATATGGGAGTATGGTTGCCCAGGCGTACATAAAGGCAAGGCACATTTACACCAGTAACCACCAACCAATACTACCTTCATTCTCTGCTTCCCACACATTATGCAGGCTTCTCACACATTATGCAGGCTTCTCACACATTATGCAGGCTTCTCACACATTATGCAGGCTTCTCACACATTATGCACGAACACAAACACACCGACCATGTTAACTACAACTTGTTTCTCAATTTTTTTATTTAACAACATTCTTCATGTTCCTTTCATTGTGGATGCAAAGTATCTTTTGAGAGCAAGCTCGATATCTTGCTAAAACCTGTCAATATACACACATAACGATACACTTTTTAGCGGACTAACGGGATCGGGTGGTCAGACTCGCTGACTTGGTTGTTTACACGTGTCATTGTATCCCAATTGCGTAGATCGATGCTCATGCTGTTGATCACTGACTTCTCTGGTTCTGGCTAAACTATTTACTTGGATGACTACCTGACACTGTTTCTCAAAGATGTGGATCATTGCTCCTGACTTTGCTCATCATCTGGTTGTCCGTCCCAGACTTCATTGCTCAGCTGCCATCGTCGTACAGCTGTAACATTGCTTGGCGCGGCCTTATGTCACAGGGTCGTAAAACAAGGATCTTCGCGGTCCAGTGACTGTTCAGGGTTCAACAGTCGGCACAGCTCGGCTCACTTCGCCAAAGTCTGGCAACTGGAGATTCATCAGGCCTTCATTTGGCAATTTGTTGTCCGTAAACTTTCTTCACAGTTTAATCGGATTAGATTTCGCGTTGGTGGAGGCAAGCTTATTCCTGAATATATTTTAATAGCATTTAGACGCGATAATCAAACCGAGGGAAATTTATTTTTTGTCAACTTCTGTAAAATACGCTACTACTTTATCAGGTGGGTATGTTTGACGCAGCTTTTGGCAATATTCAAACAATAACGTTGGCATCAGGCATATTATCCATGTGGGGAATCGAACCCGGGTAACGATCCGAGCAAACCCTTTAACCACTAGCCTTACACACATCCACCTATACCAAAAGAGAAACACAACGTGACATTACCCGTTAGTTAATCCATGTATCTTCTACACTAACATTTACCTACCTCTCTAGTCGGATCATTCAGACAGATTAATACGAATAATAACCGTGCTGAAATAATATCTATGTAAAATCATGATGCGCAAACATGCGATACGACCCAAATTATCCCAAAGCTGCTTAGATGGCCTGACTGACTGACTGACTGAGTTTGGTTTTACGCCGCTTTTACCAATATTCCAGCAATATCACAGCGGGGCACACCAGAAATGGGCTTCACTCATTGTACCCATGTGGGGATTCGAACCCGGGTCTTCGGCATGACGAGCCAACGCTTTAACCACTAGACTACCCCACCGCCCCTGCTTAGATTGATTGTCTTGAGGATGACATATATTTGGACGATGCAAACGTATAGCAGCGCGTGCATACAGGTAACTTTACCTTCCAATAGTATGGATTCGTAAAGATCCGGGTTAGAATTATTCTTCAGTAACCCATATTTGTCGTGAGAGGCGACTAACGGGATTAGGTGGGCAGGTGCGCTGTCTTGGTTGACACATGTCACCGGTTCCCAGTTGCATAGATCGATGCTCATGCTGTTGATCACTGGCTTGTCTGGTTCAGACTCGATTATTTACAGACCGCCGCCATATAGCTTGAATATTGCTGAGTGCGGCGTAAAACTAAACTCACTCACTCACTCACTCCAGTAGCATGATCAATCACACCGACACAGGAATAAAGCAGTCTGTTAGAGTCGGATACAGGTTGCATAATAATGTGGAAACTGGTAAACTGATATACATCTTCTCTCATGGTCATTTGTACATAACCTACATCACAATGACTCGCCCTGACGTGAATGGAGTATTGTACAAAGTGGCGCTCTACCAACTCACGCATATGGATATGTCCTCGTCATCGAGAGTTCCGTGAACTCAAGAGCTGTGATCAAACAGCTCTACAAGCAACTGCTTTTGTAACAGCTCACAATACATGGTTCTTATCTTATGTAGATCATTCAAGTGAAGCGTAATGTAAAATGCCATGTTATAAATCTGCCCAATCACACATTACACTGAAAACTATATCCCATATGTACATGAAAATGTCTAGAGTTGACCCTGAGTGTATCAATACGTTCCCATTAGTCGCTGACGTCAGCGTTTTAGTCCATAGGCGTAATCGGTGTAGGTACGTTTACCTAACGTAAATACACATAGGCCAGGACAGCCTTGTTGAGGAGCTGCGCTTGACAAGTACACCCCACTGCACTCAATGAACGGATATGGACTAACTGAAGTGGGATCACACTCATATTTCTGACAACTTAATGTGTCCCCATGGCGAAGTGTCAAATGAAATTCAGATATATGAAACACTTAATTCCACCTGAAGTTTTGAAAACACTCAAGTTTTCATATTATGCTGTTCTAATATATTCCAGTCCTGTAAATATGTGCTTGTTTACATTGCAAGTGTTGAAGTCAGCAGCGCTTTTTAGAAACCGTGTCATTATGCGATTATACATATTCTCGACGAATATCATATAAGAAAAGAAAAACAGGAAAAATGTATTCGAAAGCTGTCGCCATGACACGAATAAACAAATATACATTCCACTCAAAGCCCCAGAAGCTTTCAGAAAATGTATGTGCAGAATACTAGTATGTCTGAACGTGAAGCAATATTAACAAAAATGACTGTCCTATTTTGACGTGTACCATGTTACTATTTTCACAGGGGAACAATTGACTTGACTTTGTATGTGTTTGTGACGGGTGTCAACGGCCTATCAGGACACTAAACACTAAATTCTAGTAAAACGTATTCAGGTATGTCTTTAAGTCATATCAGGCGACACATAGCTGCCACACCAACAATACACAAACAAACAAATAAACAAACAAACAAACACACACACACACAAATAAACAAACAAACAAATAAAATCCCGCCCACAATTCTTCTGAAGTGGTCTACACATATTCTGATTTTGACAAACCGCCGACATATAGCTGGAATATTACTGAGTGCGACGTAAAAGTAACCTCACTCGCTCACTATTCTGATTTTGGAGTAGGAAGCATATTGCATCTGAAAACTGACTTTATGACACTAGCGTGAGAATTTTTCCCCATAACGTACGCCTTTCGAATGTCGAGAAAGTATCACTTGCTTAACAACGACATTAAAATCTATAACGAAACGTCGCCTTTCACAGAATAAAGAAGATGTATAACCTTAAAATTATCATCATCCTTCGTCTAGAAATTACCTCAAATGTGTATAT